AACATAATAATAATAATAATAATAAGAAACCGAGTAAAAACAATATGTTCCCAAACTCCGTTTGGGGAACATAATAAGGTCAAATTGTATCTTAGTTCTGAGTGTAGTGTAAACAAGTTATCTAGTATTATAAACAGCATAAGAAAATCACGTGGCAATGAAACAATGAAAGGTACAGGTACACCTGAAACACCCGCTACGTAGTCCATTACGGCGCGGCTGTTACCGATTGATTTAAATGAAACGCATGACAACCTTGCCCTGGATTTTGTCATATTAGACATTCTTCTTCAAAAAGAACAGTAACTCCAGTAAGTATACATTCAAGAACCGCTTTCGTAAAGATTACTCATTAATTAGATTAGAGAATGTTTTTATTTTATTTATCTCTTAATTTTATCATAAATGTTTGCTCTTTCAGAAAATCAGTTTTATGATTATGCATTCCTGACCGGATTACGATGATATAATGTTACCACGTGGACTGCACCTTGGAGTTCTGTCAGCAGAAGGGAATACAACTTAAATAATGGATTATTCAGTTCTATTGGTATATGAGAATGATGGAACACACATAGTAGACATAGTTAGCAAACACTTAACAGAATATAACACGAAAGTATATACTTCAAAATTAATGCAGATTATTAATCCGCCGGCGTATTGTACAACAGTGCTTATCCTTACACCCGGAATGTTATCGGTTTTAAAGTCTTCGAGTTCACCTGACCTTTCACATCTTCAACACAACAAGAGCAAGTGTGCCTTGTTTGTTCATGAATCTATTAACATTAACAGTGTATCTGTTCAAGAAATACTCCGTAACAATCTTCCCTCCTTTCCAGAATGGATTGTTTACCACTTTGCAAAGAAGGTTCGACCACTCATTCTTCAAATTTTAGAACTAATTGAAATAGAAGAAGAGGATGCCGACCCCGAACTGCACCTTGTATCCAATATCACGCTCTACCCAGACACTGAGTGGGAAGTAAGTCTCAATGCTCAAGTATTGAGTAAATTGTTAATCAGTTATGAACTAGAATACCTTTGGTTTTATAACTGTTTTGCTTCTCAGATGATTCTGAGACTTCCTGTTTTGATTATTATTTTAACAATAAATGACACCAGAGAAAAAAAAGTAATGTGACAAAAAATATGAAAAAAACAATACAATGTTTTTTGCAGATTATTCTAATGACTACAATTAGATCTTTTAAAATCATCTTCGCTAGCCAAGGGTTTCTGATAGGCTACTATCTTCACGAGGAGAGTAGCATATCAGAAACCCTAAAGGCTAGCGAAGATGTTCTAATTGATAAACTTTGTAAGGGATGTGATGTAAAAAGTGAAAATGACGAACAATGATCGATGTCATTTTATCAACAATACAAATATGTAATGTGGACACCAGCCCCTGGAAATTCACTGGCCCCTGGATCAGGTGCCCGGGAGGAATAACCATTCCTATCGACCGGTCACACCCGGCATGCAAAAAATATCTTTTTTAATTTCTTTCCTATAATTTCAAAGATTAATTTGTTTAGTCACTAATATGGCATATAATAAAAAGTTTATACAAGTAAAAGAAATTCAATTTGTTTTATTTGAAAATAAATTACCCTTATTGTCATTTTTTCGAGCCAGTCGGAAATCTACGAATTTTAATTTTAGGAGAACCAAAGAGTGTTCATTTCTTTTAACTCCACGAGAGAAAAAGAGGATAAAGTAGAAGTAGAAATAAACAGTAATCTGATTCAAACCACGTGGGTCAATCCTCATACCTCAACATTCACAGTTACTGGTAGGTACATATAGTATTTCATAAAACTGTAAGATTTCGGCTTTTAATTTTAAAGTTGATTATAAATTAATAAAATTTTATGAGCTGCATACATGAAGTAACTACATGATAATCATAATATTAATTATATTTCTTTTCAGGATTGAAGAAAAATATTATTAAAATAGCGGATCATCTGATATTTTGTTTTATAGAAACATCATATTGTATCTATAATTACACTCCAACTTTCTTCAGACAGTTGTGGCTGTGGTAAGCGGGCGGTGACGGTATGTGTGAACGAGATTCCAGTAGGTACAGCTCAGGTGTTTATCAAAGACAAGAACCAAACTCTTGTAGAAGAAATAAACGATGTGACGTCACCTCTTCATTACCTGAAAGAAATCCTGAATAGCATACAGGACCAGGAGGAGATGATTTATTCAATAACGACGGAATCTCTGATACTTGAAGGAACAAAAAAGTTACTGAAAACATTGCATAAAAAGTCGCAAGAATGTGATAAAAAGGGTAGGATAGGTTGATGATTAATATCCATTTTTTCCTTTAGTTTTTAGCTCACCTGAGCTGAAAGCTCAAGTGAGCTTTTCTGGTCACATTTTGTCCGGCGTCCGTCTGTCTGTCTGTCTGTAAACTTTTCACATTTTCGACTTCTTCTCAAGACCCGCTGGGCTAATTTCAACCAAACTTGCCACAAAGTATCCTTGGGTGTAGGGGATTCAAGTTTGTTCAAATGAAGGGCCACGCCCTCATTCAAGGGGAGATAATTGGGAATTGATGAAAAATTGGTGGCATATTTTAAAAATCTTCTTCTGTGCCAGGAAAGATGAAACTTATGGGGAAACATCCTCAGGTAGTGAAGATTCAAGTTTGTTCAAATCATTACCCCCGGGGGTAGGGCGGGGCCAAAATGGCCGACCTAAGTTTTACATAGAATATATATAGGAAAATTCTTTAAAAATCTTCTTCTCAAGAATGACAAGGCCATAATTCATTATATTTATATGGAAGCATGCTCAGGTAGTGTAGATTCAAGTTTGTTCAAATCATGACCCCCGGGGGTAGGGCGGGGCCAAAATGGCCGACCAAAGTTTTACATTGAAATATATAGGAAAATTCTTTAAAAATCTTCTTCCCAAGAATGACAAAGCCATAATTCATTTTATTATACTTCTGTTAAAATGTTTCCTATATAAAGTTCAGAGGGTAAAATAACTATTCCTCATAGTCTGAAAATTTCCCCCATAGAAAGCTATACCCCCGGGGTATAGTTTTTGCTACCCACACCTCGGAAAATTTTCATGCAATTTTTGACGCCAATTTTAATTTCCAGCGTTAAATCCATAGCCTGATGATGTCATAATGACTTATGTAGCATTGTGACGTCATCAGGATTTCAGCTTATTCTCGCAGTATTATCTAACACCAAAGTAAATTCAAACCTAAGAAATTATAATATACATCAGTATAATAAAACACTTATCCACTGGCTGTGAGTGAGATAACTCTTTTATCAAACCCTTGACAGGAACTATTCCCCTCGGGCAAGCCCTCGGGGAATAGTTCCCTGTCGCGGGTTTGATAAAAGAGCTATCCCACTCACAACCATTGGATAAGTGTATAATATTTATATGGAAGCATGCTCAGGTAGTGTAGATTCAAGTTTGTTCAAATCATGACCCCCGGGGGTAGGGCGGGGCCAAAATGGCCGACCAAAGATTTACATTGAAATATATAGGAATATTCTTTAAAAAATCTCCTTCTCAAGAATGACAAAGCCATAATTCATCATATTTATATGAAAGCATACTCAGGTAGTGTAGATTCATATTTATTCAAATCATGACCCCCGGGGGTAGGTCGGGGCCAAAATGGCCGACCAAAGTTTTTAAATATATATATAGGAAAATTCTTTAAAAATCATTTTCTAAAAAATAGCAAATGATAATCCATGATTGGTCATGGGACTACTTTTGGATTTAAACTTTACAATAAAAAGTCATTTTCTACTTTTTCCTACCTTAGTGCTCAGGTGAGCGATGTGGCCCATGGGCCTCTTGTAAATAATAAAACTGCATACAATAAAAACAATACATGTAGTATCTTGAAAAGAATTTTTCGTTATTACATTGGTCGGCCATTTTGGCCCCGACCTACCCCCGGGGGTCAATTCGTAGATTAATACAGAATATATTTATCAAAATTGATTTACATAATATAAAATTAAGCAATTTGCTTTAATAATTAATATATATTATATGTTTAACCATCCTTATCATAGAGAATCTCTTAACGTATATTTTTCTACTGCATGCAGAAAACCCAAATACTGGATGTAAACAAACCCCAGAGGAACATACCATTATTTCTCCAGAGGTATGAAACGCAAATAACACATATGATAATGTATTCTATTGAACATGTATAATTTTGTATGTAGAGCTAACTTCCTTCCATTTTATAGAACGCTGACGTTGTCAGATTGAGGCCAACCAGAGAGACCATCAGGAATAGAAGACTTCTGTCAAGTAAACATCTCTTTATTTGCATTCGTCTTCTCAATGACAATGTTTAGAAATACATATATTTATACTTAAAGTATTCACGTTGATGCTGTCATTTCGGCCGTGAAAAATAATAAATTTAATTTTCAATCACATTTATAATACATAGGTAATACTCAAGATGACAATGACAGAGAATCTTATATTGAACAACTGGCAGTAAGTAAAAAATAATCATATTAGATCAAAGTTATTCTACTGGTAAATCAATGTTCATGATAATTAACCGCTTTACTCCTATGATAAGTGTATGTATACGTGTATTATTCGAAATCACACCCCTCAATTTAAACCATTTACACAAGATTTAGAATGAGAAATAGCATCACGCTTCTTTTTTCTAAAACAATATATTAACTTTAGGGTCACATTTGTTCTTGCAGCGCCAGTCTCAGCGGATATCTCTTGCCCAACAAAAGTTAAGTTTGGAAGAAGAGTTGCCCTCCATAAAACATGATGATGAGCTTCTGAAATCCCTACCATCCGACTTCTTTGACTCTATTCAGAAGTAGCCTAAGGTGGTCTCTTAGATGGGTATTCTTCACAAACAAGAGGTTCCAGTGCTCTATAACAGTTGCGGGGACGTCTGTGGATCGGTGGATTATTCTCAATGCATTAATACATATTCCGGTGAAGAAAAAAAGCTGCAATATCAGTTGGAAATGAATATTCTTTGAGTAAATGGAACCAAGTCTCGACGTACTTATGATGAGTTCACTATTGTTATTGGCTATCTCAGTTCAATGTGCACGTCTTCCTCCTGAACTAAACCCTCATGATGTGCAGTTTTCAAATCTCCATTAACATCCCCATTGCATATTGTCGTTGAAAACTTAAAATAATATATAAATATTAATAAAAATAAAACTTAATAATACCTCCAGGTTACTGATTTGTTTTAAATTTTAAAATCCAAATTGTTTCCAAAATGATACCCTAGTTTAAAGAAAGTATTGTAATTTACATTCTTCAATAACGGAGTGAACCGAATCAGGCTACTGAAAGATAAGTTGATATTACAGAGATATCTACAATCTCGTTTGAAATTCCACATTCCCTAAAAGTTCTACAGTTGATTTACGACCTTGTCTGCAGATATGATATGCCATTTGCAAGTATTTTAGCTGAGATGTTTCATCACAAAAATAGTGTTTTATATTAAATTTGACTATAGAATGTGCGTTCCGTCTATATACCTAATCAAAACATATATATATATATATATATATATATATATATATATATATATATATATATATATATATATATATATATATATATATATATATATATATATATATATATATATATTTAAGGCTGAGGAAAGGTAAACGTTCAAGAACGTTGCTCCTTTCATGCACCCAAAACTAATCCCACCTCTGTAATTTCCGTGTTTAGCCCTGTATACAATGGCGTGAAGTGAAATATATGGAGATAAGTAACATTATTCAAAAGTCCATTCAAATATTATGAATTAGGAGCAGAGCAAACGCAGACCTCGAAAACTTTAGAGGTGGGATAAGGTATCATATGGATGAGTGAGCATCCCCTGTCGTCCAGGTACCCCCAGTGTGCTCCTTTTCATGGTCGGGGTTTATCAAAAAAAATCAGCCGACAATTCAGTTTGTATATTATGAACTAACAATTTGTAAGAAAAACGTCAATCAGCATTTGACTTCATGATTGATTGCATTTGACAAGGTCAACGTATCGACCATAGAACTTACGAAATGATGACTTTTAACGAAATTGTTGATATTTTGTTTCATCAACTTTATTTTCAGTAATTTTTTTGTTTTAAATATTGTTTATACATGTACGTACAGAATGCTCTTGTATATCAAATTGACTGGTTATATTGATGCATAAAAAAATAAGTTGGCGTCTGAAAAGTTAAAGTCATCGGGTTTTTCAAAAAGCTTCGTTATTACCATTAGCGTCATTGGTAATAAATGCGCACCATTATAAGCTAGTAGACGACTTCTTGCTGGGTTTATATGAAGCAGTATTTGTCCAAAAATCTTATTAGGTGAAAAGAAGAAAACATTGTTGTGTCCTTCAACTCGATTTAGATATACCGACAATGTATTGTCAGTTAATGGTTATTTTCATTTTTATTCAGATACGATATATCCCGGTGAGTTTGAAATTGAAGATACCACAAAGTTTGACACATCTCTTTCTTATTAAGTTAATTTACTTGAAAAAGACGTTAATGGTGATCTAACAACCAAGCTGTGTGAAAAAAGTTATGAATTTTTTTTCAATCGTAAACTCCCCTTACTTATGCAGTTGTTCGATTTTCAAAGTGAGGTAAGTTATTGAAAAACAAGTTGCATAAGCAAGAATATCAGCATTATCGTTTAAATATAATGTCATTATTTCATAAGTTCTGTGGTCGATACAATGACCTTGTCTGCAAACACAATTTATCATTAAGTCAAACGCTGACTGATGTTTTCCATACAAATTGTTTGGCCATTACATTTACATGTATCAACCGAATTTGTCGAGGATTTTTCTCGCTATTTTCCCGATCATTACAAGGAGCACACGACGGGTGTGACCGGTCAGTAGGGAATGATCACTCCTCCATGGCATCCGATCCCATCTCTAATATTTTGTAGGTCCTTGTTTGCTCTGCTCTAATTGATTTTGTATTGTTTAATGGAATTTTGAGCTTGGAAACTGTTTGTTTCATTCTTCTAAAATATTCAGATATGAAGCAGATGTGTCAGACTCTGCGATATCCTACGTTTTAAGCTCACTGGGATACATCATGTCGACATTTGAATGGAATAACTTCATGTATTTTTAATTGATAGTACGTCGTCGATGTATCTAAAAGTTGAGTTGAAGGCTACAGCAAGTGTTTTCTTTTTACTCATGCATGCTTTTGAATAAATTCTGCTTCATATCATTTAAAAATAATAAAGGAGCATTGAAATAAATCAAGCCAAGCATAATGAAATAATGTTTTACTTAACCTTAGGGACCAGGAACATACTTTGCTTGATTTACGTGATCACTATATTTACAAACATGCGTAATCAGAGATTATAGAGCTTTTTCTTTTGAGCTCACCTCAACGAATCCTGTCTTTAAGTAAGGCAGAGTATCACAACAAATTAACATTGTAGAAGTTTACGTCCCAAAATGCAAAAATTATGCAATTTTGATCCTTATGGCTGGCAGTTACTTGGTAATAGACCAAAAAACTTAAAACTAGTCGCCTATCAAGAAAATGTAAATAAATCCAGCATCTAGAGTAAATTTAAGAGTGTTCATCCCTTAAATTGATGCGTCATCAATGCAAGTTTGGTTAATATATAAGCCTTATAATTTCTTGGAAATAGACCTGCACCAAAAACTTTTACCTGGTCCATTATCTGGAGAATGTATGTTGGATCCAACATCCGAAGCAAGTCCATTAGTGTGCATCCTTAGATGTATCATTCTTACAAGTTTGCTCAATATAGGACATGCATATACTTGCTTCAGAATGAACATGCACCAAAACCAAAACCTGTTCGCTCATCCGTAAAGTGTAAGTCAGATTTAGCAATAGAAGTAAGCCCATTAGTGTGCATCTGTAGAAGTTTCATCCATGCAAGTTTGGTCAACATAGGGCTCATAGTTACTTGAACATTGGACCTGAATAAAAACTTTTCCACTCATCAAAAAAATGTAGTTCATATTTAGCATTCGAAGCAGGCCTAGTATTGTGTATCCTTAGATGTATCATCCATGCAAGTTCGTCCATCATAGAGCTCACAGTGATTAAGGAATGAGAAATTCACCAAAGACTAACTTGTTCACTCATCTGGTAAATGTAGGTCAGATCCAGCATCCGAAGCAAGCCTGGTAGTGTGCATCCTCATTCCTCAGATGTATCATCCATGTAATCTCGTCATCATAGGGCTCATAGGGTTACTTAGAAATGAATTTGCACCAAAACATTAACCTGTTCATTCGTCCAGAAAATATGGATGAGATCCAGCATCTGAAGCAAGCCTGGTAGTATGCATCCTTAGATGCACCATCCATTTAAATTTGGTCAACCTTGCCACTTCTCTGCTGAAATTACAGCATCTGAAACCTTACCTGGTACAATGAAACACAATAGAAGCATCTTCCATGCATGTCTTATCCATGTAGGACATAGACTTACTTTAAAGGAAATTAAAGACTCACCATGAACCTTAACCTGCTCCTAGGACACCGAGGGTACTTGTATCACATAAGCTCCCCCAAATTCGTTGAGGTGAGCTAAAATGAAACCGTTTTATCTTACATGGGGACAAAATACCTTGCCTCCAGTGGAATAACGAAGTATTAACATTTATGAAGGTTAAGCCGTATATTTCGATGGTGAAATTCCCTTGTTATGCTTTGGATGACTGTACATGTAATTAACTTACATCACTTTTTCTGGCTATAACGTCTTTTTTGTCTTTGGTTGGTAAGCATACTTCTTTGTTATTCTGTTCCACGAGAACACTCTCAGATGAACAATCAGTATCGCTTAGAACACCACATCCCTGACTTTCCTCTACACGAGTACTCTGCGTTGTATTATCCTGTCTGTCCATAGTACTAACACCGGACGCCTTATTCTCCTCCTGAAGTTTACCCTCCTTAGCACCGTCATTATCACTCGCAATACTTCCTTGAATACTAGTATCAACAGTAAGCTGACTCTCTTCTGTATCGCCATTATTAGACACAATACTGCGTTTATGATTATCTTCCGTGAGGTTATTTTCAGCTACACTTTCACTACTATCTACATTTTTAAAATCTACTCCATTCACCTTTTCACACGTGGCAGATTCATTAGTATTATTTGATTCGTGCTTTATCGTCACACTGTCATCGTTCGTATCATCACCAGTCTGTGTGACTTTATCATCGTACATCCTCCACACCTGATCCGTTTGAATCATCTCTGACGTAGTGTTCACAATCGTTTGAACCATTTCTGACGTAGTGTTCACCGTTGTCTGGGTCCCTTTATTATCACGTCCAAGGTAAATATGTTTATCAAGGTTCATCCATATTCCACTGCGTTCACTAGAGCACCGTCTGCGACGTGCCGCCTTTATGACGTCGAACGTTTGAGAAGTTCGACCCGACACCTCCCGCTCGTCCAGAGCAAAATTGTCAAACCCCTGGACATCATCATTCCAAATGTCAGTCTTTTGTTTGCAGAACAAACAACCCATGATAACTTTCTAGTTCTGAAAACGATCGCCATTTGATGGATTCATTGCTGTCCATGCAACTGAGGTTAAAACATCAACATACTGCGCCGAGCAGTTATTTTTCAATGACATTTTTTTTCTGTTCGGACAAACAAGGGTATTATTAAAAGCAGGGTAGCAAACCAAATCCGCTTATGAGAGACGGAAATAATCACCAAAACATATTTGTGTTATTTAATCTCATACATGAACAGGTATGGTCACACGACATGGGTCCGATTGTGGAATTAAGGAAATACGTTTATCTTCCAATTCGTTCATTGTGATTCAAGGTATGAGAAGGATGGGGTAATTTGATGTAAAGGAGAATTTGTTAATCGTATGAGAAAGAAAATATGCATAGAAGCCGGAAAAAATGCATATATGAGTAACATATTGAAAATTTTTACTCTCCCCACTGAATATATTTTTCCACGTTAAATCTTTGGGTTAAATTGTAAGTTTTTGTTTTACAAGTGGAACCTTAATGCGTTTTAAATATGTCTTGATGGAATTCGAATTGAGACAACCTGTACCGTCATAATCATTTTACATAAAATGGACCCCAAAGAGCCTCCCCGCGCAGTGTTGATCGAATCTGACACTAAATGGACATGGACTTCATGCAGTCTGCAGAG